CTGAAGGTGAGGCTGAATATCATGGTGGAAGAATGTGGCAGAGGGAAGTGGCTCATATGCTCCTCAGAAAACAGAGAGAGAGTTTCCATTCACCAGATTTAAATATATACCCCATAGTCAATGCCTCCAATGAACCACTTCCTCTAGCCACACCCCACCGGCCTCCAGTTACCACTCAGTTAATACTATCAGGGATTGATTCACTGATTAGGTTAAAGCTGTAACCCAATAATTTCTCCTCTGAACCTTCTTGCATTGTCTCACACGTGAGCTTTTGGGGGACACCTCAAATCCAAACCGTAACACCAGACCAGTGGGTATCAGCAGCTTAGAAACGTAGTGTTCCCAGCTTACCTAAGGAGGAGTTTGGAGAAAAAATTATACAATACTATAAACTGATAATACCATCTCCATCACTCTGCCCTCCCCTGGGAGTTTCCCAGGGATGTTGACTTTGAAATGCATGAACTGCCCCAGAGCCACAAGTGGAAGAGAGCCTCATGTGTATTTCCTGGCTGAAAAGATCTGATGATTATATGATGCCCTTTGTCCAATAAGGTGGTAAGATGATGTATTAAGCATTTATTATTTCATTATCATATTGCAGAGAGGGAGTGTTTTGCTATCTTAGCAACTATCCACTGAAATTAAGTTTCCAACTTGTGTAATTTTGAAAACAGAAATTCCAGGATGGGGTTTTGTGTTTCCTTCCTTAACAGACCACCAGGCTGTTAAGGTGGTCTGCTTATCTGCAAGAAGGTGAGTCGTACTTGTCCAGATGTCTCAATGTAATAGGTGGAGTATTTGATTGCATATGAATACTTCCACACTAACCTGAAACCAGGAATACAGAAAAAGTCAAATAAACAAGAAAGCTATGATGAGTTTGGGTTCTTTAAACCTCAGCAATTTTTCTGTCCACTAAAAAGAATACCTCCCACTTTTAAGAAGTTCTTTGCATTTTTCTTCCTAACTCATCCAGTTTGTCAGTGAGTGGGAATGGCCAAATTTTGACTCACAACTAGGAAAGCTCACTTGGGTGGAGAAGGTCTCTTTTCTCTCTTCTCATTCACTGGGAAATCATCTGGACCAGAACCACAGCCCAAAGTTACTGCCTGGCTGATTGGAAAAGTTACTGCTGGCTGGAGGCCAAATGATGCTAAGTTTCATTTAACCAGATGAATTAAATCACTTCTGGAGACTAACATACAGCATGGTGACTACAGTTATAACACTGCATTGTGTATTTAGAACTTCCTTTCTTTCTCTCTCTCTCTCTCTTTCCCTCCCCCCTTTTCTTTCTTTCCCAGGGATTAAACCCAGAAGCGCTTAACCACTGAGCCACATCCCCAGGGCCCCTGACCTTTAATTTTTTTTTTTTTTAAATTTTGAGACAGATCTCGCTAAGTTGCTTAGAGCCTCACTAAATTGCTCAGGCTGTCTTTGAATTTGTGATCCTGCTGCCTTAGCCTCCTGAGCCACTGAGATTACAGGTGTATACCACTTTTCTAAGAGTACAGATTTTCCACACTTTTACTACATGAGGTGATGGATACTTAAATTAGCTTCATTTTATAATTTTACAATATAGTATGTGTAATCCAAACATCATGTCCCACACCATTAATATATCCAGTTTTCTCTCTCTTTCTCTCACTCTCTCTATCTAGTTTAAGCAGGATAGTTTATTTCTCACATAAAAGATGCGAAGAGTAGGCAATCCAGGGCTGTAATGACAGCTCACACCTTCTTCAAGGAGCCAACTGCTTGTCTAAGTGAACTGCTTTCTTCGTTGAATGATTTCCATCCTCAAGATGAGTCATAGTTGAAGAAGAGCGTGGAGATCCAACATCAAGTTCCCAATCCGAGCTGGCAGCAGGAGAATCTGCTGTTCCTCCCTTCTTGCTCAGCTCCTTGAAACAACTTTCCAAGAAGTTCTCCACGACACTTCTCCTTAGATGTCCTTGGCCAAAAGTTAGTCTTCTGGTCTCACCTAACTGCATGAGAATCTAGGAAATGTTGCTTTCTGGCTGGGCGCGTGGCCACACTGAATAAAATAGAATTTCTATCACTGAGAAAAAGAGGAGTGGGAGGGTATTGGGTGGGAATGAGAAATCTCTGCTACAAATAAGACAACTGCTGTTCATTCCACAAATGCCAAGGTGAAAGGAGAAGGAAAAGAAGATTGCAAGATGCAGACCTCAATTCTCAGGGATGCCTAGTCTGATGTGTGAGATAACTTATGTAATGAGTGACTTTATTGGAAAGTGACTGCCATTCTCATGAGAGTGTGTATCACGGTGATGAGGGATAAAAACAGAGCCATTGTCAGGGGATTTGGTGGATATGTCTTTTATAGGGAGTGGCCTTTGAACACTGGGAGGTTTCCTCAAGCAAGCAATTTTTATTTTTTAACTACATCTCAATAAATCTGGAAAAAAGCCACTTGACTCGTGTACCTAAGAACAAACACACAGGGAAGGCTCCTCTCTTTCATATCAGAAGCACAGGAAGTTATGGTTTCTCCATCTCAAAGTGTGGTTCAGCAAAGCATGCTGATTTAGTTCTGTAGGTATTTATGATACTTATTTATTTTTATGGAAAGATATTTTGAGGTCATTGAACCACATAGATATGTCGAGATTAAAGAAGTAGGAAGACAAAACAAATTAGCATGTGAAAGAATGAGCCTCAATTTATCCTTTAAATCAGAGACTATTGTTTCAATACAGTTTGATTAGAGTGGTTGCTGCCTAGAGTCAGTTACACCTGATGGGCTGGGTCACCTACTCTGTGATTGGGTTATTGAAAGGATTTCAATGACCATGACAATGATAATAAGCTGATGTCTACTGATGGTCAGACTGGGTGCTTTCTGTGTGTTATTGCTTTCAAGTCTCATAGAGATCCTATGAAGTGGTACCATTATTGTCCCCTTTCTATACATGGGGGCATCCAAGCTTAGAGAGCAAAGGTAATGTGTCTAAGGACCCACAGTCAAGCGGCAGAACCAGGCCTTTCACTCAGATCTTTCTGACTGCAAAGCCCATGCTCTGCTACACTCACGTGATTGACAATCCAGGGAAGAAGAGGAAATGTGCAGACTGCTGTTGTGTAGGGCAGGTTGTGGTAGGTGACAGAACACATAGGCCGACAAATATATGTGGGATGCTGTTAGAGTCTGTAAACAAGTCAAAATAACACCTGGCATTTTGCCAGGGGAATGTTAGAGTTCGTAAACAAGTCTGGATGGTGCCTGGCAAAATGCCAGAGGGAGTGGTTTGAGAAGTAACAAAAGCAAGCCATTAAGTGTGGAGATTCCTGATTGGTTGACTGATGTATCTAGTTTATGTTAATTAGATAAGCTGTGTGGAATGTATAAATACTGCTCCTGTCCTGCAGTAAACGGCTTCCACTCCTGCTGTATCAATGTACACAAGTCATTTGTCACCCCTCGGTTATTTTGCTGCAGCCGGACTCCGGCAGGATGCAGTGGAAGGAATGGCGAACCCTGGCTGGCAGGCTCAGATGGACAGCCAGTTGCTTGCCTGATGGCCACTCTTTCCCGCAAGCTCTCTGGGTTTTTGCTGGCCCATTGCTTGTGGAATGTGGTTTACATTTCCTTCCTTGCTGCTGGATATCAGTGCATCTCATGTATTGGCATAGAAGTGGATCATAGTTTAACTCCCCCTTTTCATTGACAAAATTATTTTCAGAAATAGTAGTGAAATGAAGTGAGTAATAGTGGCCAGAAGAGAAACATGGGGAGCATTTTTTTTATTATTAATTTTGCATACATAATCCTATCAGTACACAAATACTACAGGAAAAAAAAAGAAATTAAACAATTTTAAATTTCATTATTAATCTTTTTTTTTTTTTTTTTTTTGTGGTCCTGGGGATTGAATCCCGGGCCTTGTGCAAGCAAGGCAAGCACTTTGCCAACTGAGCTAGATTCCCAGCCCTCATTAATAACCCTTTTTGAAAAGAAGGTTTATACCTACATATTTGTCTGTCATAGTAATGACGACATTACGGTAGCTATAAAGGACTTGACAAAAGCTAAAACATCTGCAAAAGGTACAAATGAGGCACCTGCTAAATTGATCACTGATGTAATATTTTGTTTTCTCCATTTATTCTTTAGATTTAAGACAATTAACAATTTATGAAGAAGAAAATATTTCAATTTAAAAGTTATGAAAATTAGTTAAAATATTTCACGTAAAATTTGCAGTCAGCAAACAAAATACATCTCACAGTTTGCACTCTTGTTTTGCTGTTTCTGATTGAAACACAAAATAAAAACTCTAAGCAATTACATAGAATGAAAGAATTGAAGTAATTCTATTTCCATTTCTTTCCTGCACTGTATTGTTTCCTTGGAATCTGCTGTTTAAATGCAGGAATGTGTCGTACCACAGGAGCCAGAGACAAATTGTGCCAAGGAGGGTTTGGAGTTTCAAAGAAATGAACAAGGCCTGGCGTGACAGGGACTAAGTGCATAACAGGGAGGTTTTTGGATGAACTTACAAGTAGAATACTGTGTTATTAGAAGAGAAGTAAATGGGCTGGGGATGTGGCTCAAGCAGTAGCGCGCTCGCCTGGCATGCGTGCGGCCCGGGTTCGATCCTCAGCACCACATGCAGACAAAGATGTTGTGTCCGCCGATAACTAAAAAGCAAATATTAAAAAAAAAAAAATTCTCTCTCTCTCGCCTTCTCTCTCACTCTCTCTTTAAAAAAAAAAAAATAGAAGAGAAGTAATAAAAAATATACTGATTTGAAACTTCTGTGTTTATTATTAAAATTTAACAGTAATTGTGGCAATGGGTTAGAATTTAGATCCCCACCAAAATACTTCTTTGGGAAGGAGGATTTTATTAGAGTCATTTAGAATTGCTGACAGATGGATTTTAGTTTTATTACTTTTTTTTTTTTTTTTTTTACCAAGATTTAATGTACATTTATTCTTAACACGTGGAACATATAGTATAAAGATTTCATACTGAATAAATGATATTCATTAAGCCAAAAAAGGAAAAAAAGGAGGAATTTACATCAAGTTTTAGCTACATTGTTGAAATACAAATATGCAGATTTTATCACTGAAAAAATCTCAATTGTGTTTCTTCATCAGGAATTTCAACTGAACCTAGAACTTTTTCACACCTCGATTAGAAAGAAAACAAAACAAAAACCCAGAAAAAAATAAACTATAAGTTGATTGGCTGCTGAGACAGCAAGGACTTTTTACAGAGACCTGTACAGCATCACACCAAGAGGGGCGATGTCTGGCAAGAGATTAAATAGCTGTGTCTCGCTTTGTGCAGGTCACCAACTTGTTAACTGGTCATACTATAAAGGGGTAGCTGGGAGAGGGACCAAACTGTGGGGATCCAAGGGTATGTGCAATGTACAACGTCATATATATACACACGTGGCAGCGCAGTCGCTGCAGCTAAAGGTTAAAACCAGTTCTAAGAGGTGATCTCAGGGTTATTCATACAATCAAGGAGGAGAGAAAGAGGTCAGGGTGTTGTAGGTTCACACATGATACTTTGGGGGAAAAGCCTTTTTTTTTTTTTTCTCCTCAACATTTAACTAAAAACATTTTTAAAAACTACAGCTTGCTGCTGACCCAGCGTCTTCTCTCGTTTCCATGTGAGACATTATTATTACAGTATGTTTACAGTATCAGGTGTACAGTACAGTACATGAAAGGGTCTACACTCTACTGCACAGGCCTCTCCAGTGAACAGGGTCTGCTCACAACTGCGAACTTCTCGGCTCCTTCGAGATTGTGAATGTACAACGATAAACCACACACAGTTCAGCAGTCACCTTTTTGTCCTTCAGAGTTTTTTTTTTTTTTGTACTTTTTCTTTCTTTCTTTTTTTTTTTTTTTTTACCATTAAAAGCAGTTATGAAATGTGGCATCCCGTTGATGCAAGGACCGGGGAAGCCATTTTTAGTTTTTTTTTTTTTTTTTTTCCCCAAACTCACTGTAAACAACAGTAACTTTGGTTAAAATAAAAAAGTCTTCTATGTAGGCAGAGCTTTGTCTTTTCAAATAGGGTGGGGTCCTGAGGGGGAGTAAGGTAAGGACAGGAACAGAAGGGCGTGAGGAGTGGGGTGTGGGGGAGGAAAGAGAAAACAGGAGAGACTTTTTTCCCAAGGGAGAAGCTGGACAGCACAGGGTAAACTGGATTCTGAGGTGGTTTTGCATAAATAAAGGGCAACAGTTTCTAAGTTCTCCACACACGCACACACACACGGGGGTGGGGGGTGGGGGGGAGGTGTCCCACGGCTGTCATGACTGGCCAATCAAAAACAGTACATCACAAATGACTTGTGAAACCAATGAGTTCATCAATGGTGACACTGAGATGTCCAACAGCCGTGACTCATACAGAGTGAACTCGGAGTGGTTCTCGTCCACCTTGGCCAGGGCAAGCAGCGCGCGAGCAGCCCGCCCCATCATGTCCACACTAGTTGGCTCAAAGGGTGGGTTCTGCATGTGGAGGAGGCTGGCCTGGCTCTGTTGGAATTGCGTGGCAGCAAGGCTGTCCTCGAGGAAGCCCAGGAGGTTGCCGATGCTGCCCTTCTGCACTGCAATGGCACGGGCTGCCAGGCTGTCCCCCTGCGCCAGGTTGGCCAGCAGTACCACGGCCATCTCCCGGCACACTGGGTTCTTTCGGTCACTGAGGAAGCGCACCATGGTGCTATACAACTTCTCCAGGCGGCTGAAGGGGGGTGTGGCCAGAATCAGGTCCACATTGTTGTCCTGGATGCTGAGTTTGCTGAGGGTTTCCAAGACCAGTCTCTGGGGGGAGAGGACGGCATTGGGGCCCAGGGTGGAGAAAGGGTCCTGGGCTTCAGCTGAAGGGCAAACTGCCCAGTGTAGGAGTCCGTCCAGGACAGGCAGGCAAATGCTCTCAGGGTATGGGGAGAGGTCCAATTGCCCCGAGATGTTGGCGAGCGTGACCAAGGTATTTTCCCGGAGCATCTCCAAGCAGTCCCACCACCACTCCACTTTGTTGCAGCTCACCCCTTGGTCCTGTTCCTCCTCCTTCTCATAAGTTAGTGGTGCCTGCTTTCGTTCTGGGTGCTTGTGGTGCAGCAGGATCAGCTTGCCCAGGATAAGCAGCAGCCCTGGGTGTTTAGACATCTCAAAATCATTGCCTGGCACAAATGACAGGCTTCGGATGGTATTGGATACACAGACACAGCGCTTGGCAAGGGAATCCTGCCAATCCAGAAGCGTACACAGTGGGGTCTCATCCTTACTGTGGGGTTCATCCTCTAGGATCTTGATGTTCCGGTGGCTCTGTGCTGGGTTAATGCCAAATGGAAATTTGCTGCTTTCCTTGGTGGCTTCTGCACTTTTAGCTCCCTCCTCTGTCAACGTGCTAGATCGAGTAGACAACATGTCATCCATAGTGGCTGTGATCCGTTTTTCTGGAGGGCCATCAGGTGGGGGTCCCTCTTGTTCTGTCGTCCCTGGCACACCCTCTACTGTTATGACATGTTTTCGGGGGGCTGCAGGACAGGGCACAGGAGGCCGGGAAGGCAGCAGCTCTGTCTTGCTCTCAAAGTGGGTCTGGATATGCTCAGTGGTGTCCCCCCCACCAATCCGCCAGTGCAGCAGGCCACTGTCAAACTCCTGTACACGCCCAAGCTTATCTGAGCAGTCCACCACAAACGGGTCATTCTTCTGTACGATCTTTACTGGAAGCTTGTCAAACTTACTGATTAGCTTCTCCTCACAATTCTCTGGAGCTGGCTTGTCCTTGCCTAAAAAGGCCATCTCCTCATCATTTTCAACTGTCGCCTCTTCTTCTTCTTCCTCTAGTTTAGGACCTAGAAGTTCTTCTTCTTCTTCCCCCTCCATGGGGGCTGGACTAGACACCTTGCTGAATCTCCCAGGATCCAGAAGTGTTCTCTGTCCTGGGTCACCCACCTCATACTCCTTTAAAATGCCAAAGATCTCAATCAGGCATCGTCGGAAATATTCCACAAGGAGCTCCAGCAACCCTGGGAGCTGACTGAGGTTGAAGGTCATAATGCTGTTGTCATCATATAGCAGGATGTTAATGGTGTCTAATGCCCACGTGCTCTCTGCCAGAAGCCCAGACTTGAGGGACATCATTACCCGCCATGCCTCCGGGGTTCCAATGTCTTTCATTGTGAGCCGCCTTCTCTGCTTCAACACAGGCTGTGTAGCTTCAACAGAGCCAGGTGGGAAGGTGATATCCCGCCGAATCATGGGGGGCTGCACAGGGGCAGGTGCTATGTGGGAGGCAGGTACTGGAGGGCCTGCCTTCTGCATTTTCATCCCAGAGTGCAGGAATGGAGACTTGCTAGGAGAGGTACGGTTCTCCATTGGCCGGGGCAGGGGAGCGGGGCTGGATACCTGAGGAATGTGATTCTGCATGCTTGGTGGGGGCTGGTAGTTAGATGGAGGGGGCCTTGTCATGGTGGGCACAGGGGCAGAGGGACCATACGGAGGCTGGCGTGTGCCATGGGAAGGCCAAGGGCCTTCATGGTTGGCCCTCTGATCCGTGTGCAGAATTTCATCTGTTCGGTTCACACCATGATAAGCAGGACCCTGGGGGGCAGAGCCTGTGCTCTGCCTGTTGGCATAATTATAGGTCATGTCATTACGCCCCTGCCACATGGTGCCTTGCTGAGCAACTTCAGCTGATGCCTGTATGGGGCCGCCCATCATTTGCGGTGGCATGTTCTGCTGGGCATTGGAGCCAGGGGGTGCAGAGACTCGGTCTCGGCCAAACTGGAATGGAAATTGGTTCTGGGGGCCGCCTGCTGGTCGGCGCTCAGTAGCAGCAGTGGCAGTAGCAGGATAGGCATTGCCGTACTGGTTGTACACATCTTGCTGAGGGGAAGGCTGGGCAGCTTGTTGCTGGCTGGCAGACTGAGACTGGGCGGGGGGCAACTGCTGCTGTTGAGGCTGCCCCTGCCCAGTGCTGTATGGCACGCTGTACATCTCTCCTTCATGCCGTTTGGCAGGAGGGCCGTATGTGCCATCCATTGGCCGCTTATAATTCTGCTGTTGCTGCTGATACATTGTGGTCTGCTGGCTGGGAAAGGGGCTACCGGAAGGGGTGCCTTGGGTGGAGAACTGATTGCCATAGGAATCATGTCGTTGCTGCTGCTGCTGCTGCTGCTGCGGGGGGTAGCGGCTAGGAGAATACATCCCCGAGTCTGGGGTAGAAGGCATGAGATTGGGCTGGGGGGCCCCAGTGCCCATATTTGGTTTTATTACTTCTTAATAACTTCTTTATAAATAATGTATCCCCTTCCTTCTGCACCCAAGGCTGAAGAGATTTGAGTGAACCTGTATTACATGACTTCTGTGAAATTTGCTCTCAGTCAACTGAACCTGTTGGGAGGAATACTTCTTCTCTTTCTCTTTTTCTCCCCCTTTTTTCAAAGTGTTAGGTGGAGATGGTGGTTAGAGTTCTAGCAGCCTTCTTAGACCACGAGGGAAACTTGAGGAGGAAGGCTGGTGATAGGGAAGGAAAGAAAAACAGAGGATTCATATCCCTGGTGTGCAGAACGGCTAAAGTTGCGCCCAAAGAGTCACACCCTTTACAATAGCCTCCTGTTGAGCTGGGATGGAACTTGAGACTTGCTTCTTCCAATTAGTAGAATATGGCAAAGAAGATGAGATATTACTGCCATAATCATATTACATTATGTGGCAAGGGAAGAAAGTTTTCAGCCTTGATTAAGTAGTTTATTAAAAGGGAGATTATTCTAGGTAGGTCTGAACAAGTTGAGTTGAACAAGTGGTCCCTTTAAAAGAGGGCCTACTCCTCCCATCAATTCAGAGACTCTAAGCAGGGGGATCCTTTTTTTTTTCTGTTGCTATTTTTGAAGAAACAACACTCCATGAGTTCTCCAGCCACAAGGAAATGAATTCTACTAATTTGAAGGGTCTTGATTGCAGATATTTCCTTTGCCTCCAGATGGGAATGCAGCTTTGTAAAACCACATGGCTAAGCCAGACCCAGGTTCGTGACCCATGGAAACTGTGGAATCAGATATGTGTGTTGTTTAAGGCTATTAAGTCTGTTCTGGTTTGTTACGCAGCACAGAAGACTAATACATGGATATCCATGTTGTCATGGTAACAGTCCAGGACCACCTACCTGAGAACTTCTTTCATGTGAGCAAGAACAAAATTTCTCACTCCTTTTTTTTTTTAACCCCTTTCTCATTTCTTTAGGCCATTGTGATTTTAGGTTTTCATTTACAACCAGTTGAACCTAACCTTACCTGATTCATGGAGTAATGAAGAAGGACTTGTAAGAGATAAATCTTTTGTCATTAATCTTGAAAAATGGTACAATTTCAGAAGGTGAAAATAGGGGTCATCAAAGGCAGAAAACAATTCTCATGGGGCAAAATGGATAAAGGAAAGTACTGGGTGATTTTCTCTGGAAACTTAAAATTAATTAATTTTAATTACTTTATAAATCATACATATTTATGGGGTATCATGTGATATTTTGACACATGGATACATTGTGTGATGTTAGAGGTAAGGTAAGGTATCTCCTTAAGCTTTTTCATTTCTTATGGTTAAAACATTCAAAATCTTCTCTTCTAGCTTTTTTGAACATAGTATTTTATTTTATTTTTAAATTTTTATTTATTTCTTACATAGATGACAATAATGGAGTGCATTACATTCATAATTATCCATTCACAGCACAATTTTTTGTAACTCTGTATATAAAGTATGTTCATGCCAAATTATGCCATTAAACATGAGCTCTCTCTCTTTTTTGCATACAATTCTTAATACATCTTTATACCATCATTTATCATATCTCTGTTTATTTATATATAAGGTATGTTGACACCAAATTCACATATTCATACATGTATTTTGTATAATGATGACCCTCTCCTTCTACCATCCTAGCTATTCTCTTTCTCCTTCCCTTTCCCTCCCAACTCTATTCCCTATCTAGAGGTAATTTTTCTCCCATGCTCTCCCTTCCTATCCCATTTTGAGTCACCCCCCCCTTATATCAGAGAAAACATTCGGCATTTTTTTTTGGGGGGGGGATTGGCTAACTTCACTTAGCATAATCTTCTCTAATGCCATACATTTCCCTGCAAATGCCATGATCTTATTCTTTTTTAGTGCTGAGAAATATTCCATTGTGTATAAATGCCACATTTTTTTTTTATCCATTCATCCACTGAAGGACATCTAGGTTGGCTCCACAGTTTAACTATTGTGAATTGAAAAACATAGTATTTTAAAACATAATATTATGTTATTGGAAGGCTATTTTGAAGAAATAAATTATATTGAATGAGGTAAGACTGGGAATAGAGATTAGAGCCAAATCACAAGTCCCAAAATGTTTGGAGATTATGTTTAAGCAATAGAGAATAATGGAGATTTTCTGATTAGGGTGGTAGCATGGTCAGAGCTATGTCTTATTTAAAAACATAGCATGAGTGAATCCTCTATGGGCTGCACAAAAATATCTGGAAATAGATTTTGTCTCATGGAGATTTAAGGAAAGAAAACTTGGGAAGAGAAGCAGGTACCCAGGCAGGTACCTCGAGAGACCTTGAAACCAGAATAAGAGACTCAAGCCTAGAGGCCTCCTTTCCAGTTCTTTCTCCTATATCATTCCCTGCTTCAGTAGGTTTCTGGTGGCTGGATCATTGCCCCTGACAGCTGCCCACTACAAGGAAGGGAAGGAAGGAAGGAAGGATCTCTGTCAGTTCTGATGAAGATACCATTGCTGGAAGCTGTTCTTGGAACAATCTTGGAACCATCCCAAGGGCCAAGGGGAGGGATGCATTGATTGGCTTGGTGTGTGTGTGTGTGTGTGTATGTGAAAAAGGAGACTGGGGAATAAAAACACAGTAATTATAGGTAGAATTTGAGTTTCATAATCCTGTCTTTTCATATCAGAGCCTCAAGGGACAGATGATACACTCATATAATTACACCCTGCTAAAGATATCAAGTTTCAGTTGAATTTACATTCAATTTAGGAGTTTAAGTACATACAGAAGGTTATCAATAACCTAAAAATTATTTCCCCTTATCCCTATCAACATCAAGCAAACTGTAAGCTAGGTAGTTAAGACTATGAAATATTTTAAGTGCCTAATTATTGCTGCATGTCCAATGTGTATAAAATACTGTGTTATTCTTATGGCATCTATCACTTGGAGGAAATAGGATTTCAGAGTACTTTTTTTTAACCAATTCTGACAAGTTCTTGAAATAATCTCAGTGAAACATTGACTTCTTCCTCATGAAAGAAACACTCTTTTGCTCAAATGAATTAATACTTAGATATATAATTGATAAATTAAATCTAGGGTCATCTAAAAAGCTACTTTATTCACATACCTAAGATAACTAATTAAACCTGCACATTTAACTGGGTACATTTTGGTACCCATAAATTATTTGGAAAGTTTAAGATTGGTTTTGTTTTGTTTTAAATTCTTGGATAAATTGGACACCTATGCATTTTTTTGGAAATAGTCAAAGCATATAAAATTGAATCCAAATCTGTAATTTCCATGGTGAACATACTTCATTAGGAATTGGCCATACCAGCATTCTGAAAACCGGAAATGTTTCAATAAATGTGGTTGAAATACCTCTTCCCTGGTGGGAGCAGTTGATGCTTTTTACCACAAGATGGTACTCTTCCTCCATCCTGTATGAACCTGTCTCAAAAACAAAGGATGCAAAATCAATATAGTTAACTTTTATTTCCTGGCTTCTATTTAAATAGGAGATAAAACTTCATCTTGCTTATTTACTCATTATTATTGCTATGCAGTAGTTTTAAAGTGGTTGGCTAAGCACTCCACACTGTAGAAAGTGAAATTTATATCTGTCTTCTAACTTAACACATTTCAGAAAACTAAATACCATCAATACATTACCTATCGTTATTTTTTATTGATCTAAGGAAAACACAGGGTTAATCTCAGTTTTACTACTACTACTATTACTACTAATGATAATAAAAATAATCTCATTTTTTTAAAGGGGGGGGGAGAGAGGGAGAGAGAGAGAAAATGAATCATTTTTGTAGATAGACACAACACAATGCCTTTATTTTTATGTGGTGCTGAGGATCGAACCCGGGTCCCCCCCATGCTAAGCAAGCGCTCTACCACTGAGCCACAATCCCAGCCCAATAATCTCATTTTTAATTGCATTAAAAAGATAGTTAACAGGCCCATGATTTCTCCTTGGAAAGGTAGCATATTGTCCTATCTGTACAATTTTACATGTGAAATAATAAAAAACAAAAAAGTCTAAGTTATTGGTTATATATTCTGATCCAAGTATATTATTATCAATACAGTGGACATCTATGAAGGAGCAAATGTATAGGATCTGTTTATAGTCCCAGGATAAATGTTTGGGATAGATGGGAAGCAACTGATGTCGGGGATCCCTGTTTTACCTGTCTGGAGCAATTCTGCACCTCTCTGCTTATGCATGCCTAGAAAGCAATTCTGATGATGAAGAGGACACAAACCGCCTTCTTATTTACATCCATTGGACCCTTTTGGGGAAGAGATTTATACATTTTACTAAGTCATCTGACTTTAAATTCAGCAATTCTAAATATGAACACTTTTAATTTTCTCTCCCTAATGGCTAAACATGTGTGACAGTAAATAAAATAAAATGTTATGATTAAAAGATTAAAACCAGCCAACAGAACAAGTCAACAAATTTTTATTGAGCGAGCTCATTTGTTTTCAGATACAAAAACCAAATGAGAAGACCTTTATTTTGTGGAAACTTAAAGTTCAGGGTGAGTTTGGTTTGGATGTCATTTGTGTCTCCAGGGATCATATGATGGAGGCTTGCTTCTCAGTGTGACAGTATGAAGAGGGTAGTGGGGACATTTGAGTGGTGGAGTCTAGTGGGAATGGTTAGATCATTGAGGGCACTGCTTTCTGAAGGGATTAATGTAGTTTTTATGGGACCCAGTTAGTTTGTAAGAGAGTGAGGTGTCATAAAGGATCTCTCCCCATGAATTTGCCATCTTGGGCATGTGGCCATTTCCCTTCTATTTCTCTGCTGTGTGGTGACAGCCAAGGAAGGGGCTCCTTGCCAGAGGCCATATGGATGGGGCTATGTGATCTTGGTCTTTTAGCTTCTGAAAGGGTGAGCTAAATAAATCTCTTTATTAATCCCAGCCTTGGGTACTTTGGTTCTAGTGACAGAAAACA